TAATCTGGCTGATATCTCCATTAGTTAGGTCCTGCTAGATAGCTCAGAAAGCAAGGACTACTCGGTCCTTTAGGTACCTTTAATATTATGATTAACAAACTGTTGTAACTGTGGATAATTAAGTGTAAATCAGATTATGTAGTGCATACGTTGTACAGTGAACATCACTTGATAGCTTGGAAAACAAAGATTACTATTGCCTGTCAGTCATTGATTTTTTTATTCACATGACTGTCCTAAATGGTGATCAGTCCCACTCATATTGATCAGGAGGTTAATGTTGGTGTCTTTGCTAGCTGTTGAAGCTGTCTTTTGCCTCTAACTACAGTGTTTCCTCCTGTAATGGGCACTATTAGAGGACAGTTACTATTTATAAATAGTATTTATTTAAAATACCAGGAATGTAGTCAGTGACTTTTGCACACAGATCACTAACTTGAGGAGATTTACATAAAAATATGAAATTGAGGTAGTTGTTTTACAAAACATGAAGCATTCATTCAATTCTGTTTTACAGTGTTTAAAGGTTCTCCTTCATAATTATTTTTACTTTTACTAACTTAAACATTCCTTTTAAGTTTATTAACATAAAAGTTAAAACCACATAAAATGTAATTTACACAGGAGCTGAGACTTTTTCCATGTTTGTAAGGTAGATTTCTTTGGAGAGACTCAGACACTGTCTTATTCTCGCAGGTGCTGGCTTATTTATTGTGATTTTATTATCTTTTATTTATAATTTTGTGATTAAGTTGTCTAGCACATGGATACCACACACTCAGTAAAAGCTCACACTCAAGCTCTGCACAAAGAACTCTTTGTTCACAAGGAATGAATTAGCTTGAGATTACTGATGCTACCCAATCTATGGAAAACCTTGAGTGAGGCCTTTTACCCACCATATGCTTACGGAAGTAATTATTCTGGCATTCTTTCACTGCTTACATTTTCAATTTTCCATTGGCTTCATTAGTAAATTAGTTACCTTTAAATTTATATATATATGTGTGTGTGTGTTTTTCAAATATTTGATACTTTTTCATGTATTCTGTTGACAGAAAGTGTAGTGTTGAGATAAACATCCTGGCTAATTATGTTCCAGTGTAACACCTGAAAGTAGAGTATGTTCTCAAATGGTTGTTTCCTTGATTTGTGAATCTTGTTTTTTGTAACTGTTATCTCCTAACTCTTAAGCTCCTTTAATATTAACTTTGGAAGAAAACCACACTAATTATACCCATTATATAATGACATTTTGTCTTGTGTGTGTGTGTTATTATTAATTTTAACTTTTAATCACTCCTTATGCGCTTGTTTCATTCTTCTGACTTGCCGTGGAGAGCAAGATATTTATTTTCAGCTCTTTCCCACTCTTGTTGGGTGAGATGTTATGACTTTAGATATTATTCTTCTACTCAATGGTCTCAAGCTCAGACTCCTGGTCAAGCTAGTGTATGGTATGTTTGTTTGTGATGTACGGATGCAGCATATTGATGTGCTTCTTATGCTTTCAGATACTTTACGAATGTCACTTTAGTCTGTATGTTAGTGGATGACCAACCTTCCAGAGTAGGAAGTATGGTTTCCCCCAGCACCAAACATTTTGACTTGAATCTGGCCAGAATGTTAGCACAAGTATGGGTTATACTTTGCTGCATTAAGGATTAGCCATGCTAGAGTGGGTCCTTCAATTGCTCTTCATGGAGCTGCTGAGATGTTAAATCATGGCATCCATCCATCATTGAAATATCCATCTGTGTGGCTTAACATTGCTATGGTAGAAATGGTTTTTGCTCCCACCTTAGGCCATCTTGCTACACAAATAGTGACAATAGTGCTTTATGAAGATTACAACTGCAAGCAGTTCTTTCTTTTTCGTACCGTATCTTCATTAGTATGACTAGGGTACACAATTACACATTCTACTATTTCCTGCAACTGCAATAACACATGAGTTGCTGGCATGGGTGTTCAATAGGAACTTGCTATCTAGTTGTGGATATGCTAGCACTTGAGGATTCACTAAAGCAAGCTGTAGGGATCAGAATTCTTGGTCACATTCTTCATTCCATCCAAAGTGTACATCAACTTTAGTGAGAGCAGACAATGGTTCTGCTATTTTGGAGAAGTTAGCCACAAACTGTCTGTAACATGAAGCAAAACTGAGGAAGCTGCAGATGTCTCACTTGGTCCCAGGTTGAGACTATATCTCTACTGCTGTTGCCTTAGCATGGTCTGTAGAGACTCGATCTTTACCTACAATGTGACCGAAAATCTCAGAAACTACACTTCTGTTGCATGAATGAGCAATTTCCTGGTTTCACTTTCAAGGTTGCTTTATTTATCTGCTTTATTACCTTTCTGAGGTTCTCATCTGCAGACTTGAACAGGCAACTGAACACCAATACATTGTTGAAGAATATTCAAGACATCTTTCTCATTGCACCCCCTTCAGTGTAACCTCCATTAGCTTCTTGAAAGAGGTGAACACATTATACAGATCAAATGGCATGAGATGAAACACACAAAAGTCATCTTTCATGCTAAAAGCAATCTTGGGCCAGCACTTGCCACACAGCTTGATCTGGGAGTATCCAGATGCCAGAATAGAAACTGTTGAATTAGTGGGAACTCACCCAGATATTCAGAACTTTGGCACATACTTTCCTTCTTCCTGACAGTCATTAATGAAAATGATCAAGCACTCTTCAAAAGTTGTAGGACTGTCCTTCAATATCTGCTGTTTTTCAGTGCTTCCCTAGTGCCTTAGGGAAACTGGCTCAGTGGTTGTTTTATTGCACTTGTATTGTTGTTTTGGTGAGTCACTACTGTTAGACCCAATTGGCCATCTGGTTCTACAGATATATTGGCATACTCAACCAACAAGCCAATGAGTAGCTCTCACTGGGTCTAGATGTTTCCAAAGTCATCAGTCAGTGATCTCAGATGTGTTGGTATCTCTGTTTTTGCTTTCGGCCATGATGTGAAGTACACAACCCTAACACTAGCATTATTTCCACTTTCTTTACTGCACACACAACCTTTTCAGCAAAAGCTGAATTACTCATTGCCTATAATTGCAAAACAACATTAGGACTTCATCCCTTGATCTTGATCTGGCCAACACTGGATAACTCTTCCGTGGAATATCAACTCCCCAATTGTACGGACAAAAGTGTTAGATAATTTCCACACTATGTTCATTTTGAGGTTGCCAAATCTAAGGTTGGAGATGACTACCTTTGTTCTGTGAGCAACATTTCCTAGATATAGCTGTCCTGTTCTGTAACATCTAGTCTATTGGTATTAGCCTAATGAAAGGCACTATCTACAGGCTGAATTGGTGATATCACTTGGAGAACTTGAAATATCACAAGGTCTGCCAGTGTTCTGGCTGCTCTTGTGTGAACCATGAACTCAGTCTCTTGCCCTTCTACCCTCACAATTACCTACAAAGCTATACTGATTACCTATATGCATCGATTACATTGATTAGTGTTATATAAATATTTTATCAATCAAAATTACAATTGATTGATGTTGTGAAAAGAATTAATTTGTTTTACCAATTATTACTGCTTTTGAATATTCCAACTATCCAGTAATTAAAATTAAGAATAAATTGAATAATGTCATGAAAATAATCAACTAATGGAAATTAGGGTGACTGATCTATACAAATATAATAGTACTGTCTGGTGTATGTCCATATAACTACTTTGCAGGGTGTGGATGGATTTTCTCCAAAATTGGTATGGAGGTTCATTGGGTCCATGCAGGGGTACATACACATTTTCAGTTTTATGTTTTGCAGTTTTTATGAGCATTTTTATGTTGTTGTTTTTTCACTACTTTGCCCCCTGTAGATGGATCTTCACCAAATTTAGTATGGATGTTATTTGGGTCCATGGGGAAGATACATACAGCTTTTCAGTTTTGTGTTTTTGTGGTTTCATAGGCATTTTTGTGTTTTTTACAATTACATACAAGGGAACCAACTTTATATGCCTTAAAATAACCTTTCATTAATTATGAATTTACATAATTTCCATCCAGGGAACGGGTACTCCAGCTAGTTATTAATGTTTTTGTTTATTTTAAATACAAAGTAATTGAAATGTTGACACTATTATTTTCCATTATTATTTTTGATTAATTCATGTTTGTTCAGCATAATTAATTAGTGTCATGATTGCCAAAAGTAATAACTAATTGAAATTAGGGTTTCTGATTATTACTCTTTGTAATTGTTCCAACTATTCAAGTAATTGAAATGTTATGTTTGTTTGTTTTTAAGAACAAAGCTATACATTGGGTTATCTGTGTTCTGTCTTCTGATTTGTAGTTACAAGTTTTTTTTTCTAGTCAACTCTTTTTTGCTTTTTAGCCATCTCATGAAAATAATCAATTAGTTGAATGTAATTGATTAATGAACTCAATGACTGATTGATTAGGAATTTCCACTAATCAGTCATTTCTAGTGTCCAGTATTTTTACTATATGTCAATAAGAGACATAGTGGATAAAACGTTTAAATATCAATTCAGTTTAATTTCCCTAGACATTTCATCATGTAGTATCTAAAAGTAAAGTAATTAATACAAACTTTAATAAAATAATAATCTAAATGGAAACTATACATTTGAGTGTGTGAGACATTGGTAGGCATAGAATATTATGTACAAAAATATTGGTACTGTTATGCCTCTGGTCGTTAGTTAATTTTCTGTAAAAATTCTTTCCGAAGAAACTTTAGTGATACAGGTCCTTTCTTAAATAAAACTGGTTTATTGTTTCTGAATACGAATTTGCAATACACTTAATTTCCACAGTCGCGCTATAACAAACGCTATAATTCACAACGAACGTCTCACGTGCTCGACTCAACTGTCAATTACACCTTGTTGCCGTCACTTCTTGGCGGCTTATATATACAAGACTACCGCATATCTAGTAAAAGCTCAAGACTTCATGAACCTTCGAGAATATGACGTGTTACTAGCGTCATGTGACCCCCGCTGTCATAACAGTATTATATACAAGCATGATATTATTGTACCATGTTGGATAAATTGAACTGAATACCTCCCCTTTGACACTTTAAAGAAATGACAACTGGCAAAAAAGTGCTCACTTCGATAGTGGTCTTTTCTTGTGCTCGGGTAAAATGAAAAGGAACAGTGGCATCCAGCAGACAAAATCATCATGGCTACTTTACAAACCTGAGAACTCTTATTATGTTGGTTGCACCTGCTACATCGATACCCAAACATTTTTGCTAATAATGCATTGTATTCAGTCTCTTTTGCTTAAAAACAAATGCAATGCAATTTTCCTTATTGAAATAAACATTTAATGACAAAATATGACCTTAAATGGTCCACTAAACAATCATATTGTATATGTGCTATGATCAAAGGCATTGGGATGACTGCACATCTTTTATTTATTCATAACTATTTTTATAAAAATTACCATTGAATTCTTTCAAATGGCATCTGCTAGTATTAACATAAAAATCACTTTGCACTCAAAGCAGTCAATCCTCTGACTTCATATATTCACGGACAAATCTTTAGTAAAATATTTAATAAAAAAATCTGAATTTCTGTGTGCAAAAGACTTCTAAGGTTTGCTGAAAGCTTGCCAAATTTTGTGAACATACACAAAATATATTGAAAGTTATGATATGTATGGCAAGACAAAGCCAAGAAAGCTTAGCAAACATTAGGATAACTGGAACACAGGTAAAACAAAGATTTCCATAATAACTATAATTTAGGGCTTTTTCTAAACGTTATTTATTGTAATGCAACAATGAATTGCAAATGAAAGTATGCAATTACAGGTACAATAGTTAATAACCTGTACAAAAAAGTAAAGAATTGCATGAGAAAAATTACAGTATACTAGTGCCAAGGTTCATCACTAACAAGTGTTTTATAATAAAGATATTAGTTCTAGCAAAATACTGGTAGAGCAAACAACCATGAATCTTTTGCTTTTAAATACAAAACAAAAAACATTCTCTGTTCAAGCACTGAGGTTTACACACACAATTATACACACCTTGCTTTATTAATACCTTAGCTTCTGTATATTAAGTTTAAAAACATAAGCAAAACTTTTTAGCTCTAACAGTTTCATCTTACCCTTTGTCTGATATTAGCTTTGAAAACAAAGCCAAATGCACCTCGCCCTAACAATCTTCCCCTTCTAAGATTTTCTGACCGTACCAGAAATCTCTCCCCCAAGTCAGCAAAAACCTAAAGGTTAAAAAAATATTTTTCTTACAATAATTGGATACGAGTTTCTAAAAAAAACCCACTAATTTCTTAAAGAAAATATATCATATGCAAAATGATACATTCCACCTATCTAATAAGAAAATATTAATGAGTTTTTTACATAGTACATGGATTTCTAACCATAATTTTATTTAAATAATAACTATTTAAAGCAAATTTTTATCACTTATTTTAAAAACCAGATATAATATGTTTCTAATCATGAAGTGTTTTAGCAAAATACACGCTGTTTCTACAAAGTACTTTTGCACAAAATGCATGTTTGTGTTAATTAACTTTACCAAAAATTTTGTTTTCCCTACAAAGTAGTTAAAAAAAGTTATACTTCTCAAATAAAGATATTTTTGATAAAAAAAACTTGTGTTTCTAGAAAGTAGTTTAGAAACATAAGTTATCTTAAAAGTTAACATTCTCCTAAACTGAAAATGTATTTCCACTTACTTCCGCTGACACTGTAACTATTTCTCGATCTCCAGGGTTTCAACTCTTTGCTCATCTAAGCATTAAAAATGCTTGCTCCAGTCTTTAATACGCCACTTGAATGCCCTTGGTAAATTCTGATTAGCAAAATTCTCCACCAACTTCAATGCACCCCCCATTTAGGTACTGTATATAATCACCTCATTCAGAAAATGTAATCACTTTTTCAAGAACTAAACCAGTTTTTAGTGGGGAGAGTGTCAGCAGAGGTAAGTATTATTGGAATTACATTTTCAGTTTCAGAGAATGTTAAGTTCCAAAACATACTTACCTCTGCTGACACTACAGCTAGAATCCCACATTGAGAAGGTGGAGAGGCCAGTGCAGGCATGAACCATACAGAAAGCATCTGTACAGAACAGGAGTGTACAAAAATAAAGATGGTACAAGAGTGGGGAAACCACATTACATCCATAACAGGTATGCTCTTCTTCTGGAACTCACTTCCTATATCAAAGGTGGAATAGAATATGAGTAATCATCAGTATAGGTCAGCCCCAACCAAACAGCTGAAGTTCCACAACTCGGGGTTGGAATTAAGGGGTTGTGGTACCTATATCCCACATTGGTGGCTAGGACTATTGGACTGCAATGTTATGTATATATACTTTTGATTGGATCCCAACCTATAGCCATACAGTGATGCGTTTCACACCACCTGAAAAAGTCCAGAAGGCAACACCGCAGGCTTGGAATGACAGGATCGTGTATGCCGTACTCAACCAAAGGAACGGTACTCATCTGGTCTGGAATTAGGAACATTCATCCTCCAACATTGATAAAAGGGAAGGGCCATGAACCCACCAACCGGATAGCTTTGTGTCAAATCTGAACCAGACTTAGGCTCCCACAGAGGTTGGTTCTATTCCTACTGACATCTGGGAAAACATCCAGGGACCCGAGTAAAAGGGCCCCAACTTTGCTCTCTTCTTAAAGAGTGGAAGAACACAAGCACTTAGGAGGAAAAGCCTCTGTCGACCACCCCAGCAACTGGAGGTGGTAAGGATTCTCTTGCTCCACTGATATAACCTGTAATATGCATTGGGGAGTCCTGAGGAACAGTGCTCTGAAAACTGTTCAATAGGTGAACCAAGTTTCCTACAATTTTAAAAGCAAACCTGACCCTGATTTATTCAACCTGAAGATCAGCAGGGATAGTCCATGAGTGGCGGTCCATAAAAATAAGGTAATACCATCCAGTAGGTGCTTAGATGGTCTTATGGAACACACCGTTTTGACAGAGCCTGTTGCAGCCTGTAGTAATTATAGTGAATGTGGTTGCTAGTGCAGAATTGAAAAGAGAAGCATACCTGCCTGGGTAACATTCCCCGTAGAGTGGGATCCTGGAAATAAAAAAGTATGTGATTGTGGAAAATACTCACCTCTGTTTAAAATCTAACAGATGTGTTCAGAAATAGCTACAGGGGATAGTCGAAAACCCTCAGAAGAGGAAACTGCTAGATCATGTAAGTAATGAGATAGGAAAGTACTAGGAGTAGTTCACATACCAGCCTGCACAATGTCTTCTAGAGGGCAATTCAACTGGGCAGCTAATGACATAGAGATATGACAAATCTCGTGAAATGTGACATGCAAAAGATTCCTCTCCTGTAATGATAATTCATTATAGGCCATGTGAATCAATTTACAAAGCCACCTTGTTAGGGTAATGAGTAATAAATCATGGGAAATAGAAGGATTCCAATAAATGAACAATCAATACCTACTACCTCACAATGAGTTAGTAAGAGCCACCTAACACTTGAGGGCCTTAACAGGACATAACAAACGATCAGAATCAGAGTGGTCATAAAGGTGAGAAATGTTTGGCAAATAGATTGGTAAAAAGGATCGTTCCTCTTCCCTAGGTGCCAGAGTCTTGGGAAGAAAAGACCTATCAGGGTAAAGCAGGACAAATGTGGAATGATAAAAGAGTCCAATTCACTTGGATTGCAAACTACTCCGACTGACGTAGTCCACAAGCCAACAATAGCAAAAAATACAATTTAAGAGAAAGGTAAAAACAAAGAACACAAAGCTAAGGGCTCAAAAGAAGGATGAGACAATGCATGTAAAACAACTTTAAAATACAAATTCGGTAATTTAAAATGTCATTTGAGTCAAAGAATAGAAAAGGTTTTAAACAGACCTGATAGTACTGAGGATTCAAAACCTTCCGATATTTGGAATACTGAAAAATAGTGGATAAGGATGTCTTATATAAAGCCACTGCAGATGAAGCAAAACCCCTCTCAAGTACTCCAAGTTATAAAATGGGATATGGTAGATACTTTACGATGAAGAGAGTTTAAATTCCTTTTAATACATCACTGATTACAAGTATTCCATTTCTGTTGATAAAGGGCTGTGGTAGGCCTACAGAGAGATTTAGTTAAATAAAGAGAAACCTTAGAAGTTAAACCCTTATGCTGGACAAAGGACTGCATAATTTCCAGGCATGGAGATTGAGTTTCCAAAGATCTGAGTGAAGAATGTCTGATCAAAGTTGTCTCAACGGACACTGCCAGAAGTGGACATTCCTGCAGATACTGAAGAAGCAGAAGCCATGTTTGAGCTGGCCAATATGGTGCAACCAAAATAACTCAAGAGGGAGTGGAACAAACCATAGTCACAACCTGGGTCAATAGGCAAATTGGGGGAAAGATGCTTGTCTAGTCCTGACTGAACGATCTACTGCCTATGCCTGAGGATGAGGTATCAGAGACCAAAAAACTGCAGTTGAGAGAGAATTCCAATTAGTTGCAAAGGCATCGATCGTTGGAGACCCAAACTGAGAGCAAATCGACTGAAACACCTTGTGATGTAGCAACCATTCCATCAGAAGAATCTAGTTGGGTTGAGACAAGTGACCTGCAATTAAATTCATCACTCCTGGAATATGACATGCTAAAAGACTGATATGATGGGAATGAGCCTAGTAGAGAAGATTCAGGTCTCGAGAATGTGTGCCTCCTTGACGAGAAATCTGAGATACCACCGAGGAATTGTTGAAATGTATCATGACAACTTTTCCCTTCAAGAGAGAGACCTTGAACCATTGTCCGGTGTACTGCAAGGAGTTCAAGAATGTTGATATGGAGGGTAGACTCATCTTCCATCCAAATAACCTGGAACTCCTGACCTCAAAGAGAAACTCCCCATCGCTGAGGAGATGCATCTGTGAACAGATGGATCTTGGAATGAGGTGGTGGAATGGTTATGCCTATAGTAGTGTTTTAATCCAACCACCTTTCTCAATTGACAATGTTGCTCCTGAGTAATGAGACAGGATGATCCAAAGGATTGCAATGCAAGATCTATTGGTTGCACAGTGACCACTGAAGATACCTCATATGTGTTCATACCAAAGGAATAAGAGGCCCGAGGGATGCCAACATCACAAAACGAGAGAGAACCATCCACGCAGTAAGAAAAGGAGATATAATTAAAAGCCTGATGGCTCTTTCCATGGCTTCAAGCCTGATAGGGGTTGGTTGAGCACGACTTCAGTGAGTGTTGAAAAACACACCCAGATGGATGAGATATTGCATTGGTGACAGAATACATTTCTCCAGTCTGATAAGAAAGCTGGCTTTTTTGGCTTCTGAAAGGAGACTCTGAGACTGTTGTTCTGCTAACTGATGGGATGGAGCCAGAAGGAGCCAGTTATTCATTTAATGATTTTTGCACAGGCCCAAGGAATGCAGATGATGAGAAAAAGCTTGAACAACTCTGTAGAAGACATAAGGTGCTGAAGCAAGACTAAAGGTAGAGCCCTTAACTGCAGCACCTGACTCTTGTGCACAAATAAGAGAAACCTCTGGAAAGATTCCACTAGGGGAATATGGAGTTAAGTGTCAGAAACATCAACTTGGTCATCTAGAGCCCAAATGCAAAGCACCATCGTAGGTGGAGAAAATATTTAATTGTAAAGCAAGGAGGATCTAAAAATTGGTTGAGTTGAGACAGATCGATGATTGGATGCCAATCTCCTGTCTTCTTGGGTACAACAAATAAATGGGAATAAATTCCTGGAAGAATGGGATCGACTCTCTCTACTACCTTTTTGACTAACAACTCTCTTATGGCCTGGGAACGAAGTTCCACTTGCCATGGATCTGTTGGAGGTGGAAAGGCAACAGGTGTGTAGATAACTGTAGAGGTGATGTAAATTGAGTGACCAATCCTGAAGCCAGAACATGGAGTACCCATGGATCCCTGGTGACAGAACTCCAGATGTCCAGAAAGTGATGTAATTGTGCTTCCACTGCTCTCCTGCCCATGGAATAATCACCGATGCCATTGTTGATGGTCCGCTCGAGCCATAGATCCTTGAGAATACTGACAGACTCTATTATGAGAACCAATAGACCTGGGAACCAAAGGAGGGGGTCGGGAAACACTACGAGCTGACATTCCCAAGTTAGTGCCAGAAAGGTGAGAAGCCAACAACAATAAAGAAGAATGTAAACAAGTTGAATCAATTAATGATTCTAACATCTCTGGATAATAATCTTGCTGAGGTAGATGTTAGCAAAATCCGCAACTTGTCCTGATATTGCTGATGAGAACATTGATAGGCTTCCGACAAAAGCTGGATTGAAGATAAATACCTCAGGACAGTCGTGAGACAAAGATGAATCTGAGAAAACTGTGATCTGTTTAAAGTGATCACAGGTTCCAAACTAGACCCCCATAGGACCAAAAGTGGGTCCCCATCTATTGAAAATCTAAATATACCTCCTCCTGTCTGTGATAATTCAAAGCATGCTGTTCTGATAAATGTGAGAACAAGGCATAGCTATCCCTTTGTGTAACTGAGTGGCAAATCTCGCAGCATGAACAGCAATATCAGAAGGAGGAGGAAAAACCAAGCAGTCACTTGCCATCCTTTCTGCCAAGGGGAAGAAGTAGAGTCAAATAAATAGGAGAGACCCCCAAAACCTCACAAACCCTAGTAACCAATTGAAGAAAAGGGGCTGTAGGTGACTGAGAAAGATGATCCTCTGTTGAGGCCAACCTGGTGAAAGAAGAAGCCGGAAAAAGCAAGTCTAAATTCTCCCCAGCTGGTCGTGGGTCATTTGCAAAAGCAGCCTCATAACCCACCGGACAGACACCTTCAGTCCGTATATATGTCTCTCCGTCTTGCAACGGATCATATCACGGACAGCTTTGACTGAGAGAGACTCCTCACCTGGCTTTTGACAAAAACCAGATGGTAGAGGTGGAAGAGGTCTGGTTGGCCCCCGTACTAGAAACATTAACTCAGGAATTCATACTCGTCAGTACATTTTTTTAAAGTAATTTACAAATATAAATTAAGATATAACTGTAGTAACACCAAACACATTCCAAGTTGCAAGGTAAATTGTGAATAATCACAACACTCCTGTTTATAGAAAACCGTGCCAAATGCTTTTTCAAGAAAAAGTGATTATATTATCTGAATGAGGTGCTTATGTACAGTACCTAGATAGAGGGTGCACTGAAGTTGGTAAAGAATTTTGCAAATTAGAAGTTGTTAAGGGCAATCGAGTGCCAATAAAAGACTGGAGCAAGCGTTTTCAATGCTTAGATGCTTAGAGTGGAAACCCTGGAGATCAAGAAATAGCTAGTGTCAGTAGAGGTAAGTATATTTTGGAAAATTTAAAGTTATATTTACATTGATCAACCACAAATTTCAGCCTCTAGTCATTTTTTCAAAATGTACCACATTAAGGTAACCTGGAAAATTATCTCCTCACACTACCATTTCTATGAAATTTTTACCATTCTTCCACTGTATTGATAATTACACTTAGCAATATCATAAGCAGAAACTGTATCCGATTTGTCAGTGTAGTGAATAGTAGGAGTTTTATATCATGCCAAAATGAAAATATACAATATAAGAAATGTATGACAAGGTTAGCACTCTTTCTAAACAATGGTTAATAACCTGTGCAAAAAAGTAAAAAATTGCATATAAAAACAATTACAGTTTAGCAGTGTTAGACTTCAGCAACTACTTGCCACTGTATAAGGGCAGTGTTAAGGGGCCTATGCTTGAATAGATTTGATAGATAATGTTTATCAGTCACATCTATAAATACCATGAGCACAATAACAATATGCATGCATGTATTTTATTATAAGACATTGTCTAAACCCACTTCAAAGTATAATTTTCCTATTTCTACTTACTGTTATTTCTGTCTACTTTTATAATTTTCTCTCTAAACATGAAAATTAGTTTTGTAAATCTTACTATAATTTGAAAGAAAATTGTTTGTTCTCTAACTCCTCCTCCTAGGCTTTTGCATGTGGACCTGTCAAATATGGTTTAATCAACTAGGAATGATTTAGCACATGTCAAAAAAGAAGCTATTTTTATTTTAAAATGCATAGATTCTTTTGCTCCAGCACTGGCTAAATATATAACAGTTAGTAACAAAGGTCACTAGGGGTAATGATGGGATTCCTCCAGTTTCCTCTTTCATTACATGAGGTATACATATTGTCTATGTACTTTCCATCATTACTGGTATATTTAGGATAAAAATATAACTACTTATGTTCGTAACTGGTAAAATATTAATTCTAAAATTGCATTTCATCTTCAAATCCCATCAATCATTTGAGTGATTTCTTTTCATACATTGTTTATACGCATGTTGCTTACTGCTTTTTGATAAAAAAAAGAAACTACAATAGATAATAAAATACATGAATAAATTTATTCTTATGTACTTTCAGTCTTTACGTTGCCACAAGCATATTTTGGAAAAACTTTCATAAACCTCTTGCCATGCATCACACGGGTAAATCTGCTGGTTTTATTACTTTTAACTGTAATTATGTGAAACAATGAAGTTTTCCTAGATAAAATCAGATACTTTCCAAATAAACAGTAAAGAAAAATGTATCAAAAATCTAGTGAGAAATAAGATTCTACTAATATTTCTATTTGTAGCCTCAATATTTTGTTAATAGAAACCAGAAATAAAGAACTAACCACATCAGGAGCTAAAAGAGACATTTTAAGATCACCATGAATTGGACATTTGATAACTTGCTCCTGGTAAGCTGTGAGGATACAGTCTTCAACCATAAAACTGTAGACAGTGAGGTCCCCTTCAGTTGTAGAATCTATTATAGCAGCTCCATCTTGCTTCTGCCTGGAGAGTAGCTCTTCATCCAGTCTTCCTTCAGCCGAAGGTTTACGACTACAGCAATTAAAATGGAATAAACTTAGAAAGCAATGCCAAAACGAACGTAAAGATTATATTTCTAACTTAAAAATACCTTTCAAAAAATTACAGAGCTTTAAAAACTTCTACAGAGGTAAAACATAATACCTATCTCTTAAGAGGTGTAGAATGCTTTAAACCTTTGACATAAGTAAATACTTTCAATGTAATAAACTGCTCCAAGAAGTTTCTGACAGTTTTTACTCAAACATATTTTTATGTTCCACCATGAATCAATCAAAGAGCCTCATATGAAGCTGCCACAGATTGATATGTTAAAATATTGTTACGTCTCCGTTTGTTAATTGATTTTCCGTAACTTCGTTCCGACGAAACTTTAGCGACACAAGTCCTTACTTAATAAAACTGGTTTATTCTTTCCGAATACAACTTTATGATACACTTAATTTCAACAGCCGCGCTATAACAACGAACATTAACTTCAACAATACTCTCTGACTGCAGTTCAATTACTCACTACCTACACATTGTCCCGTCACACAGTGTACCTACTTATATACACCACGACCACCCCAACTCTAGCCAAATGCTAAGCACC